TCATCCCAGTTGCTAACAATACCATGCTCAATTGGGTATTTCAATGTCAAAATACCTCTTTTAGACTGAGCTTCATCTCCAACATATGCATCCTTTTGGCCCATACCAACCATGACACCAGTGTGCCTGGGACGACCAACAATACTTGGGAAAACTGCTCTTGGTGCATCATCTCCAGCAAACCCAGCCTGTCAAGGAAAGTAGATTGAATTAATTCAACACTTCAAATTTCTCAAAAGACGTTAAGTAAACTACATAAAGAAAGGGAAAAAATACAATATAAAATGTCACCTTAACCATTCCGGTTCCATTATCACAGACAAGGGGTTGAATATCCTCTCCGTCAGCCATCCTTCTTTATGCTACACAAAAAAAGTGTAAATCAAAAGGTTAAGTAAACATCAATTCTTATTAAGAATTTGAAAATCTAGAAGTGAACAAGTGACATCAATCATATAAAACTTGTCAAGTTGCTATCCCTTACCCCACACTGTTTTTTAAACTGATCCCTAAAACTTCAGCGATCTGATAGACTGCTTCAAATGTAATCAGTAAAATGTCTTTTTGAAAAAAATAACCCACTTGTCTTTTGAAAATAACTTTAGATATGCAAATCATCCAACTTTATTAAATCATAAATGACTCATAGACTGGATCTAATTTCTAGTAAATTGAAATTTCAAAAATTACACCTAAGTTAAAATAAAAAAAAGCATATCCATCACGAAGGAAAGTTAGACAAGTAAAATGTGATGGAAATACAATGAATTTTTCAATAGTTTACTTAATCTGATAGGGACTTAGTAATCAAAAAAGTTAGGAGAAACAACTATTTTTTGATTTCACATGGTGAAAAAATCAACCTGCACCTAACTTATATTTGAACATAAGAGAATTCCCAAATCCCAATAGAGCTCAAAGCAAAGAGCATATTGTAGATGATTAAATTCTCATGCAAGGGCAACAAAATTTAGACCTCAAATCAAATTCAAGTAGCACAAATGCTTCCTCAACGTACGCATCATCTATGATGATTAACATTTGCTATATTGCTCTTTCGTGTTAAAATTTCACATAAAAAACATCATAAACCTAAACCACCACCATCATGATGCAAATTACTTGCCTATCTATAGTCTAGATTTATAAGCAACAAAATAAAGATACTACAACTTTCAACAGTCAAGACAACATAAACTTTGATCAAATCAAAGAAAAACCAAACTACACACTGGAAAAATCAAGGGCCTCTAATATAACTGCTACGCCAACATCCGTATCCCTGAGTGGCTAGAGTTTGCACCTTCCCCACCCAGCCACCCATGAGCTTAGAAGTCCATTTCTCCTCACCTTAAAATCCCTGGTTAGTGAAGGTGGCCTCTTAGCGCCTTTTGTTTAGTTTCAAGCCTTGGGCCATTTATCTTATAATCGAGATCCAAATGGGCTAGGATTCCAGGAACATTGTTCATTAAAGCAAAAAAGGGAGATAAGACAAGGGGGAAAAAAATAAAAATAAAAAAAATAAAAAAATATAATAGCATGGATAAGGACATTCTGCCAATTTTACAAGTTCACCAGTTGTTAGTTCCTGCCAGTTTTCCCATGGGAAATAAAAACTAGTTAGGCAAAACCTATATGGATCAAGTGACTCGGGATACTTGAAATCTCATTTTGGATTAGAAGCAAACATAATTTCCACAACATGTTAAACTTGTAAACTATTTCACATCTAAGGGTCCGGACAACGTTTATTGAAGCACAACACATTCCAATACCACTCAGAAGATCTAATTCTCCCCCTCACTCTGTTATCAAAAGTCAAGCAATAGGCATTACACCACATACCATACATCACTTCTCATGTCCTAATTGACCAAAAGGAGTTATTGAACCAACTCAATTAATACACATAGGACTAGAGCCAAAAGATTAAACAATCAATCCTTAAGATTCAAAACATATGACACCATAAAAGAAGAAACTTCATCCATTACACATAGGACTAGAGTCTAGAGCCAATAGATTAAGCAATCAATCCGTTCTATTCAAAACATATGATATGACATCGTAAAAGAAGAAACTTCATCCATTACTTCTCTCAATTTGATTTCACAAAAATTAACCACACAATTACTTTTACAATTTTGGCTACAATGTATATATTGTAAAAAAAATTACCAGTCAAAGTTATTACAATAAATCCGAGGGCGCCTTCATAATACGAAAAAGACGGCCCTTAACACTAAAATCCAACCTACCAACCAACAATCAAGCCGAAAGCTACCGGTTACAACATACAATTATATAGAACTAACAATCAAGCCGAAAGCTACCGATTACGACTTACGATTGTATAGAACCAAAGGCAGCGGCGTAAGATACACATTTAGACCTCCCCAAACCCCACCATAGACAAGATTCTCTAGTTAATTCTTCGGGTGTTTTCAATAACATGCAAACTATTATTCTGATTTACTCCATCATAAATCACTCAAATAAACTACAACAAATTCCAACATACTATCTAACACTCTAACCTAAAACCCTTACCCTAAACAAAGCACAACTCATTTTAAATTTATATAATTGATTTTAAACTATGGGTTCAATTTATATCACAGGTTAAAAAGCATAATAATTAAAGCAAAATATAACAATAGATCGGACCAACAAAATTTCTACAAATTTAAACATTAATTCAAGCTCATGCACGAAAATCGATGAAGCAAATTCATTTCTAAAAAATTATAAACGCAACAAATTCAAAATTTAAATCAACAAAAACATGTAAATATTAAACAAGATTAAGAACAAAAACAAATTGAAATGATATGATGAAAAAGAAAAATATTCCGAAAAAAGATTTTACCTTTAGAGTAAGGAAGATGCCCTGCAAAATGAAGAACAGAGAGAGAAGAGAGAGAGAGAGAGTGAGAGGAGAGAGAAAGAGAAGAGAATTGGAGAGAGTGACAGCGAGATTGGCGGAATATATTGATGGTGCGCTGTCGTTTTATTCAAATGTTTTTGAATGAGAGAATAAATCCAGTGTATGAATTTGTGTGTGATAAAAAAATTAAATTAATATTTCAATGAATTTGTGTGTGATAAAACAATTAAATTAATATTTCAAAAAAAAAAAAAAATTAAGGTTTTCATATTGGCAATTTAGGCAACCCTAATGAGTGTAATAATTACTTGTATTATCATTAAATGGAGGTGTTATTGTCATACTCCCCCCGTCCCCGAATGATAGTCACTATTTCCATTTTTGGACACCCAAAATGTTAGTCACATTTCACAATTTTAGGTCCCATACAATGACATAAAATGACCTTAATTGAATGAGTTGTCTCCCTTTTTAATGACAATGAGTTTCTCTCTCTTCTTTTTGTTTTGCAAATGATTGAATTTTAATTCCTATGTACTTTATTTATTTCTCCTTAATTCTCGTGATTTTCACCCAAAAGTGACTATCATTCGGGGACGGAGGGGGTAGTAAGTAAGGAAAGTGTTGAGTTTATTATTATTATTATTATTATTATTATTATTATTTTTTATCATCCAACAATTTAATGGCTTTAGTGCTTTACCTTGTAACATGCAGATTTTAGGTTGAGATAATATAATACGTACTCCATAATACATTTTAGGAATTTAGTGAAGTCACAAATATGATTTGCAAAGGGGTTAGAAGCACGGTTTAAGTTATAAAGTAGTGTGTAGTTCGGGTGCTGTCCCGAGTTGATATGTTACATAATCTTATAATATTACAGTTTTCATATATATGTATTTATAATTTATGTACATGAATTTGACTTTTATTTTAGATTAAGTCTAAGAAAATAATATGGCTTCTACTCGAGCATTCTCATGGCCTACATATATTTAAAAAGAATAAATAAGCAAAATTATCAAATAGCAAAAATGGTATAACTCTTTATTCATTTCCTAATAGATCTAATAAGTTCAATTCTTAACATAAACAATTTTTAATTAACATGTACTGTTCTAGACTTCTAGTTCTTTGTCCTTAGGGACAAATCAAAAGTCCCATGGCTTACAAACTCTTCTTACTGAGTACTACATAGTTTCTTACGTGTGGATCATAGAAATAATGAATAAAGAAAATTAACCTAAACGTAAACAAAAGTACTTTATAGCTACTAAATGTGTAAAGGGTGTCTATTATCTAGGGATGGCAATTTAATCCGATTTCGATTCGAATCTGATCCGATCCGGAGAAAAAAAATCCGATAATCCGTTTAAAATTAGTCCAAATCCGATAAAATAGATCCGAATCCGAATAGGAGGCGGATCGGACTTGGACCCTACGCAAAGTCCGACGGAGTCCGATCCGAGTCTGAATCCGAGAGTATGAGCATATTCTTTATAACTTGGGACAATTGTTTGTTTGTTTTGTAGCAAAATTTATTATGTAACTTTCTACATAATTTAAATTTGTTATGTTTATACTTTACTTGGTATGACAATACAAGCAATTATAGATATATGTTACATTACAAAAAAAAAAAATATTCGGATTATTTCGAAGGTCCATATAAACGGACTGGATTTGGATCCGGAAATCACGAGTCGGATCGGATTCAGATCTGAGTCCAGGGTCCGTTTACTAAATGGATCGGATTCAGATTTAGCTACATCCGACCCGTTACCATTCCTACTATTATCTATCACTCCAATAGTCCAATGTAATAATATGACTGTTTTTTCACTTCAGTTCAGTTCAACTGAGTTCAGTCAATGAGAACAGACCCATATTCAAGACTTCACACTCTAATACTCCTTTTTAAATTTATTGCATGATTCTTGTCCAAAAATCTTACAAAAATAAACCAAGCTCAACAATAAATTGCTTTAAGAAAACATGAAGCCACTTTATGATCTAAAAGTAATTTATTTAATTATCATAGCAATATAAATCTTCCTGCCTTCTTTTCCTACAAACATCTGGAAAATTAGCTGACAAGAGCCAAAAAAATTTAGAGACTAATGTAAATCTCTCTTCTATTATATCTCTTTGAGCTCAATAGAGCTAATCCAATCACCTATTTTCCACAAAAATGTGTTTAATTTGTATATTTACATGCATAAGCAATGAATTTGAACCTAATCAATTAAAGAATTAGTAGGCATCAGCAACAGGAGCTTCGAGACGAATGTAGTCATACAAAATGCCTCTCCAAGGACTAAGACCCCAAACTTGTGTCAAGAAAATGGTATTATTACCCTGCACTAATTTGTTGCCTGGTATGGTCACATTGTAAAGCCAATATAGTCCATGGATGCCGTGCCTAGCAATCGTATTGTCGTGCCCTATTAGTCCTGTTGTGAATAACGGAGGATTTTCATGTCGATCATTAATCCTAACCTGTAATGTTGGATGCACATATGAATTAGTCAGTGCATTAGGATTGCAGAATTGTTTCAGAGGATGGGATATTACAAAGACTAGCATTTGGTAGATACCTGTAACTCTGAATCAGTTGCTGATGCAAGTGATAGTCTCAAGTAATAGGTTCCAGAGGAGATGAGTTTATCGAGTTGGAATTTGATCTGCCATGTTGTTCCTTGATACGTGTTGCTTACGTTCCTGAAAGAGTTGGATCAAAGCTATTTGGTTAGGCCTTCAAAAAAAGAACGCGTCTAGTCTAGTTCCAAAATGTTGTGCATTTGTCATTAAAGTGTACTTCAGAAAACTAATTAAAGAAGAGTACTTAGTAAATAATTTTGAGGTAATTAGAGTGGAAATAAAAGAATAAAAGATCAGATGGAGAGGAGAAAGCGAGTAGGAAACTTTACCTAGTAACTTGAGCGAAGAACCAATCTTTCTGATAGGTGCTAACATTAACAGTATAAATTAAATCTTCGTCAGGATACAAATCTGTATACCTTTGCCATAGACCATACTGTCGATACCTGTTAATAACAAGATCATCTTATATCAAACTAATCTTTGTAACAATGGATGTGCATTTTATTTTTAAGTTTTGAACAGCAAAAACAAGAATAAGTAATTACAGAATTTAATCAAGATTATAAAGTGAAATGATTCCTATAGTCCATAGAAAACTAACCTGTCACGCGTCAGATAGAGTTTATTGACAAGATTTGGATCAGGATCAGGAATAAAGAATTCTGCAGCAGAACGATCTGGTATGCCAATCTCCCACAATATAGGTCCGTCTCTTGGATGATCATACACAAGATCGCCCAAATCAATAGCATGTCCTGTTTTCCAAGAAAATTTTACTTGCATAAGTTTTTAAACCATTAACTTTTGCTCATCTTTGTACATACTCCTGTGACATAAGAAAACCAATGTGAGTTCAATATCAGACCTGCTGTTATATCAACTATGTCGTTGTATTTGTAATCTCCTATGAAGCCGGGAACCCAAGCATAGAGATTGTAGCTCCCAGGCCGTATATTTTCTATGGTGAAATGACCTTTGTCATCTGTTGTTGTCCAGAATTGATATCCCTAGAAAGAGATCATCTTACATAATTGGTTAAAAACTCAAGTTAATGTAGCTAAGAAATTAATGAGTTTTGTTACTATAAACATATCATGAAGTTGGAATCTTTATGTACAAGAACTTAAGTTACCTTGCTCTCTCTTTGCCAGGATCCAACGTCTCCTGGAGCTGCAAACCCTACATATGCTTTGTTTGCTGAAGTATTCGTTTTCAGGTAACTAGTAATACGGATTATAAAAGTACATCAGTTCAAATTGACTGAATCGGAGTACAGATTATATATATAGGAACAAAATGCATGACACAAAACACCAAAATAAAGAGTAAATTTACACAATGAAGTGTTCACTAACCTATCATAGACTAGTAAACTACCACTAATGCTGCCACGCTGGTCAGCTGATGGGTAATCATCCGAAACTGCAAAGGTGTAAGGCCAACGCTTTGCCTCAACACTCAACTGCAATAAGTTTATAACATATTTTACTACTACTATAGTAAAAAACTGACAATTTATTCTTCAGTTCCCGTAAATTGGAATTTTGCTTGATTAGCTAACTTTGAAACCTGCTGTTTAGCATCCTCCCATAATTGCTGCGAGTCACTCTCATTTTTCGCAGAATTAGCATACACAAAAAGAGGCCCTAAAACTTTTTTCCATGGTTCTCCATCTTTAAATTCTGCCATTAGTTCTTGACCCGAGTAATGAGTACTTAAGAGTACCTGATAATCACCACACATGACACATGAGCACAATAGATGTTGTACAGTACATAATCAGCAATGCACACAACTAGAAGATTATAGGCATAATTATACACTAAGTCAACTTACTGAGAGGGAAGTCGGGCCAACATGGGATGTCAGATATTGTTTGGTTGGTCCAGCAGACCGGAACTCATTGTTAGGAATGATCTGCCAGAGTCCGGTGGGTGGATTGCTGCATATCCACCCATGTACCTGGATGTCTTTGGCTTCACCCGAGTATTGGTATTTGTCATCGACCTATACATTACCAAACAAGATATATTAGTCAGAAATCTTCGCATAATTCTGATTCAGAGACAAACTATCATAGTACAGTAGCTGTATCAAAATAAATAAGAATTTACCTCCCCTTTAAACTCTGGCTCGATTGGGTCGGTAAGTAAAACAGCTTCAGGATAAGCTAAGGCCTCGCTTCTGTTAGGTGAACGATCATCAGGAAGAGGCAGTTTTCTTTGCCTGTAATCTGACATAGCCATGTAGTTAAACCTGTACACCCCATAAATCAAAATATTAGTTCAAGTATCACTTACTAGTACCATAAATTTATGACAGTAAATTACGTTACATGCTCTTTGGGACATGATCACATGAATAATGTTACAATGCACATATCTTACCATAGTTTGTTGAGCTTAAAAGCAAGCCGAGTATTTGTCAGAGTAAAACCCGGAAAGTCTTTTGGATGCTCATAGATAGCATAAGTGTAGAAGCCAGATGAACCTCGAAGCAGAACAAACCTGCATACAGATCAAATTTCCATGACTTAGCACAAAGTAGTGTATTGTACAATACTCAATTACTCGTTTTCGTACCAAAACAACTGTATCACCTTAGACATTCACAAGATCAGAAAGATTCATTCATAACATAAAGGGGAGCATGAAATTTTATGTATGCGGTAACAAAAAAAAGTTACACCTATAACACAAAATGTACAAATTAAATTAGATTTTGAACAAGTTTAAGTCAATAATCTAATAAGATGAACTATCATAGTATAGAAAGTAGGACCTTTTGTCAATGTTTAAAGGGGGAAGTTTGGTTTTAAGAGATGAGTTCCATGTTCTTGTAAATGAGACCTCTACTTGTTCACTTGTCTCCACAATGACCTTAAAATCTGTTGCATCAAGCCTGCACACTCCAAAACGCGACGTTTTTTTTTTATTTTTATTATTAGCATATGAAATGTAATACAGAAAGTATATTGAATTACAATGTTTGTTACATAGAAGTACACTAAAACTCGAATTTAACAACCACCTAATTGGGTGGTTCTAAGGAAGTTTTGTACCTATCCAAGTTGCCCTTTTTTCTTGTAACTCCTTCGCCTTTCCAGACTATATCCCAATACCTGTACATTTTAGTCACGTAAGCTATATACATACATAATACAATTGGTACAAACTCGAAAGAAAAAGGCGTCCTAGAAGAAACACAAAATTCAGGTTCAATAAGACTACACTACCTTATTCCTTTTACCTCAAAAAAATAAGTTTAAAACAGGCTGATATTTTTTTTTTTTTTTTTTTTTGGGTGAGAAAAACAGGGCGAAAAATTCAATTAGTGAAACGTCCTACAAGTTCAATTCACAACTCAATGTACCATTAAGTGAAAATAGAAGCAAACACCTAATAAGATAAATTGATAAATTAAAAGGGGGGAAAAATAGAAAGGTTACCCTCTGTTGGATTCATCATTGAGCTCTTCAAGCAAATTAACGATGCCATTGTATTGAATTTTGGTGACACTTCCCTCGGGATTTAATAGTGTCACTTGTATTATGCCGTTGTCCAACACAATCTGTCACAGCCATTTTCAATTGATAAAAATTTCAAAGGTTTATTAATTTTATTTTTGGTTGTGAGGACAAGGACATTACAAATGGGGTAGAAGGATTCTTTCAAAAAAAAAAAAAGTAGAAGGATTTGAACCTGCGACTTATCGACTCTCACACTTAATCAATAGGCCAGAAGACTCAGAACATCATTGGTTAAAAGATTTATTATGAAATAAACGCTTTGAGGCGTTAGACATTTGAGAATCCATGACAAAATCACGCATGTAATTAATGTTCATTTTAGTTTAATATTTTTACTTATTGTTATTTTATCTAACATTCCTGAAGCGTTTGTTAGCTTTTGCCTATTATAAAAAAAATTAAATGTGAAGTGAGTATATTATCTTCAACATAAAAATAAACCTATATTCTGCTCAAGTTAGAGCATGTTCACATTTATTGAAGTGACTTGAACTGAACGGAACTAAAATGAATATTTTATGAGAGAAGGAAATTAAGAGCTGAACTGATTGGAGTTAAATTGAATTGAACTGGACTAGAATTAAGCTGAAGTGAACAAGCCCTTAATTACGGAGAATTAAGTATTCTTGTGGAACTACGAATTTTTTACTACAATTTGACTCTTATTCATGTCAAAAAAAACAACGGTGACCATGATAACTTCAAATTATATATAAGAAAAATCATAGCTAATTGGCATGATTAAATGTTATATATATTGACTAATCCAACAACATTTTATATGATCACGTTTATTTTTACAAATTAATACAATTAACGTGATCAAGTACTTTTTCCGTCTCTTTAAATTTCAGCACTACCTCATGACACATAATTCAAGGAGGAGATTAGATGATGCTAATGAACTAATTTATCAAAATAATTTATACACACAGATACCATCCTTTTCCTTTTTCTAGTGTTAAATCATATTGATAAAGTTGTCATTTACCTTCTTTAATTACTAGCCTTGAGACAGTGTTGCAAGTTAAAGAAACGGAGTAAACTTAATTACAATAGTCATAAATTAAAGTGTCATGGGCTTTTTAAACTAAAGTTTTTCACCTTTAGTCCTTTACTTGCATATAATTTTCAAATTAGATATCATTAAACGAGTTAGATTTGAGTTGAACACGAATGTATGAGACTGAATGCAACCTATATTCCTATAATAGTACACATGAAGAAAATAACAATTAATTTTATTTTTTTAAGAAAGAAGAGACAAAAAAGAGAGAAGGTAAGTGATTACATGGTTGTCTTGATAATGAAGTTGCACCTCTTGTGATGGGCCTTGGACATCCTCTGAATTTCTACAAGTACAAAATCATAATTCACGAGGCAATGTAGTATGAGTCTAGTGAAAACCCAAAATTAATTGTGCCAATTAATTTAATTTTTAGTAATTAAAACTGACTTATGACAAATGTATGAGTTTATTTTCATGAATGAACACTTATTTTAAATAAATGACCAAAAATATTTTTTACTACTGAAAATTGCTTGTCACTATATATAATATTTTCTCCTTTCGCAGCATAATTGTACATAACAATAAGTTATGAATTGGACTTATAGAAATTATACCATATAAATAATATTTCTATACACATTGTTTAAGCAACTTATTACTAAGAATAATTAAGATGATCCTATCATATGAGATTAAAAAAAATAAGAGCAAATTAAATCATAAACAATTAAAATAAGATCATAATACCTTATAGTATTTTTTTTTTTTTTTAACACGAGGGGCAAGCCCCAAAAAGTATTATTTTTATTTCACGTAAAAAGAACATATTGTTTCCCAGGAGGGAATGAAGAGGTTAATAATACCTTGTCCATTGTATAGATGATGATGTAGTGATATAATTAGCATGCAAAATTTGCATGAAATTAACCAGAACCACAATTGCAAGGCAAATTTGAGCTCCTTGCATGATTATCAACAAAGATTAAAAGTATGTTGATATGAGTATTGATCTGTTGAAGAACAAGATGAAAATGTTTAAGAATTGCTTAATTTTGAGCTAATTATAAGATATCATATAATATAATGTATAAAGATATATAGTATTATAAAAATTGTGAATGGAATTGAACTACATGGGAGATGAAGGGTAGATGCACCAATGAAAGTAGAAATTAGTAATTTTGGTAACTTTAATAATATTTGATTTGATTATTCTTTGGTAACTTTAATAATATTTGATTTATTTGAATGTTCTTTGGTAACTTTAATAATTTGATGGATAATCTAGGCAAAATCAAATCAGCACGTAATCATTCTTTAACTAATTTTGATGATTAATTTGTCACTTGATTCATATTGCTTTTTATATGTACAGTGGTAAAAAACTATAAACCTGTTTAAACTTTTAGATGACTCGCTTTCTATGCATTATGAGTGTTCAAATAGGAGAATTTTTTTGAGATAAAATGTTGACCTAGTTGAGCTCGAGCAACTCACAAGCGACATGGACAACTATTATCTATTGACACAATAATAAACAGTTGAATAATTGTTATTCTTTCTTTATGAAAAAATAATTTCAGTGCGGTAAATATAATTTCAGTTCATTAAAATAGGTTCATTTCTGTAAAAAAAAAATAAAATAAAAAATTATCAGTTCAGTAAATTTGTATGTTTAGAGAAGAAATATAATTGAAAATCAGTAAAAAAATGATTTTAGTTCAACAAAAATAATTTCACTTCATCTTCAATAAAATTAATTTCTATTTAGTAAAAATAATTTAATTAAATTTAGCAACAATAATTTCAAAAAAATAATAATTTCAACAATAATTAAGTGAACAAGCTAAGATATTAGCTCATATATAGTTTATTATAATTCGGTAATTCCTTTTCTACCAATTAAGTAATAAAATCAAATCGATAACATTCAAAGCTCATATCTTTTACCTTAAATAGTGAGATTAATGTAAAAGATTCTAACCGTCAACATACACATTAATGATCAAACCAAGTTTTTTGACTTCTTGAGAATTTACAATCTTTTTCTTTTTTTTTTTTTTTTTTTGACAATACTTAATTATTTTTTGAGGTAGGAAAACAATAACAAACTAGAAGAACTATATATACTTCGGGATTGTTGTGAAACTTATAAGTTACAAATGTTACTACTCAATTGGGAACAAGGAATAGAGGGAAAGAAACATACAAAGGAAAGGTGACAAACATTAAAACAAAATGAATAAAAGGGTATTGGGATGTACATTTGTTCTTATATGCTAAAAAAAAACTGTTCAATTATCATTATGTTAAGTTTCGTTAGCAATGGCCATCGGAAGGCAAAATATCTTATAATATCTAAATTTAAATAATCCCGAGGTATATTTATTAAAAAAAAAAAAATCGTTGCTAAAACTAAGTCATAAAAATATGGTCGTAATTTGAGAAAATGTAAAAGAAAACATTGATAATAATTATAGAGCATATTTTTCTTTTTACAGTTTTCATTCAATGCATATATTTAAAAGACATACAAAGATAAATGGACAATAATGTAAACAAGGCTAACGTAGTGTATTGTAGTCTGACTGTGTTAAAGGGTACCGACATACAACAATTATCCCAAGAAGTTACCATATTGCAGTTGTTAAGTAACATTACTGATGGAAACTTGACAACTAATACCCGTAATAGAACTAGTTGTACATAATCATACCATGGACTAGTTCTTATTATTAGAGAAACTAGTGCACACAAAATCTAAGTGTACTAAATTGATATTCAACAGCTAGAAAGCCATAAATTGGCATTCTAATTGTCCAAGTCCACCTAATACAACTTTATGGACAATTATTGTGGCCCTTTTAGGATTTTTTTTTTTTTTTTTTAATTTTTTTTTTTTAAAAATCAGTTTTAATACTGTAATAATTATCTAAGATAATAGACGAACTAATATAGTTAGCTATTTTTTATAAAGGACAATTATCCTTATATGTATGACTATTAGAGAATTTTAATTAAAAACAAAACGTTGGTACATTTTATCTTTTTTTTTTTTTTTTTTTTTTTTTTTTTCTTTTCGGAAAAATGACTACGAGGATGACAAGACCAATAGCTTTCATTAACTGCTAAACAAAAATCAGCAGCAAATACACTACATCCTTATTAGTGTAGACAATTGAGTACGATTATTTTTATACCGTGTTAAAAAAGTACGGAGTAACATCCAAAATTGGTGTGATCGAGGTTATCCTCAGGTAAAAATGCACTTGTAGTTAAGACAAAGCCCGTGTCACCTACTTATGCAATTGATAGACCCAACAAACAAGATACATACATAACAATATAACATCATAAACTAAGCTAATTTAAGGTATTTATTTCATTTTATTTATTTATTTGTCAAGAAAATTCAAGGAAACTTTTAGATAAATAGAGAAATAAAACTTACATGAAGAAGATGAAGATGAACTACTTGTAATGGCGTAGGCAAATCATACAACATATTCCAATAACCTTCAACTTGAAATTGGACCCTCTTTTTCCTCTTTCTGCTTTCAAATTCATACACAATACATGTAAATTACACATATATATACACACCATATAATAATATTATACCAATATTTTACAAAATAATATATACAAAGTATTCTATAATATTCCTCGCTTTCTCTCTCTAAAACTCGAAAATTAAATTACATACCTGAGGGTAGTAGTAGTAGTATGCATGGAGGAGAAAAATGGAGTGGTAGGAAGAAAATGGGAATTTATATTATAAGGTGGGTATAGATAAAAGAATGTTTGGCAAACCAAATAATAATTAATAAAAAAAATTATCTAGTTTGAGAGAAGCCTTCACATTGAATTAAAGCATTCTTACTATACATACTAAAAATAGTGTTTTTTTTTTTTTTACTTGTATTTTATTGCATCCTTTCTTGTAGTTTACTCTTTCAAATTGAGCCGACTTTTCTTGTTTAGATTCTGTTGGTAAAATAATAAAATTATTGAAAATTGGAGAAAATAGGAGTCACCATCTTAGCTTAGCTTCTTTCCCAAACTCAACATGCTGCTGTTGTGAAATGGAAAGCTAAGCAAGAGAGAGAGAGAAGAAAGATGTATGTACTCATGTACACGTTATAAGAACTAACTTTAGGTGTGTTTAGTTGGTCCATGACTTTCTTGGCCAATGAAAGTCACATTATAAGAGGGATCTAACGGCGCACCGTTGTTAGTTTTTATACATTTACTTTTTGGCCCGGTATAATAAACTAATAAGGAGTCATAGAGCGTGATGATGTAGGCGAGATTTTATGTAGTTTTCATGCATGACAAGAATTCGTGTTTTTACAGACCGTTGTTATAGTCTTACAGATGATCACTAAAATTCACAACTGTTAGTCATTAGACTTTAATAAACAAGTGATTTTTCTTACGTTTCTCATACAAATCGAGAATTTATGCGATAAAGTCACTTACAAAAAAGGAATAGAAAACGGTCGTAATATATAGATCATACAAAATAATATGTTAGAACCGTTTTTCTACTAAGTGATATATAAAAATCTCAAATTTATCATTTTATTTACAATTTAAAGTATGCTATGATTACTTAAAGCATTGAAGTAGTACCAAACTACAAAATAGTGTTCAAGTGTGAAACTAAGCATGTGACATTTTTGGTTGTCTATAGTTGGGGCCCTTAATATTTTGTGGTAGATATACTTTGCTCAAAGACAAAGCTGAAATGTTTTTCTGTTTCAAAGTTTTTTTTTTTTTTTTTATTTTTTTTTTTTTATTTTTTTTTTTTATTACAAATTTCTGTTTCAAAGTTGGTTAGGATTAAGTTATATTAGGACAAAAATAAAAATAAAAATAAAAAAGTGTTATGGAATTTTCTTAGATTCTTACTCCGTGAATTGGTTTATCATTTTTCTTCAATGAAATTTGAGATACTGATTATAATGCAGAGAAAAAGACTTTGTCACGAGCACAATAAGTCAATTACCATAATTCTAAGCCCTTCAAATTTTGGCCACTTGCTTATGTTGTTTTATCCTACTTGGCAGTTAACTCTCCAGGTAGGTGAAAGCGCGAGGTGGAGGGTGACAGAAGACGTGCTCGTACATACCTGGGTGCATGGTGCATCCAATGTATTTTTTTTGCTTATTATGATGATTAAATGAGGACGGTTGTTGCTTATTTAAACATCAAATGAGCAAAAAATAACCTTACTGCATCTTGCATCCGAGTGTGTATAAAAACTTACATGCTTATGTAGACGAAATGCAATCACAAATCTTGAATTTTACTCTCAGTTCATTATCGGCTTAACTAGTTAACTTATATTTACCTATCACAATTTAATCTCAAACAAATTGTCACTAGTAAAAGTAATTAGTTTCAAATTAAAGGCTTCTTCATGAACTAATTATTTAAAGTAAAGGGTGAAGCAAAAGGCAAGAGCACTAATAAACAGGAAAATATGGTTTGGTAAAGTTTCATCTACTTATCTAGTTCAATTGGTAAAGTGTCACTGCTGTAAAATGTAATTAGTTGAATTGGTCTTTGATTAAATAATAATGGAGCATTAGTTTGGTGACCATTTACCACCATTAGTTTATTATGGCAAACCCATAACAACTTTTGTGCTACATTATGTCATGCCATAAATCTTGATAGTTTGTCAATGAAATAGTTACTAGTTTCAACTAACTTTGTAAAAATTTTCAAAGGTTAATGGGATTGAAATGTCAACGCATTATTGAATTCAACTAAAGTGTATTGCATTTCATCGATTAATGAATATAAGAAATTGATATATACAAGCATTGAAGCATATAACAATGGTCAAAGTATTAATCCATGTAAAATTATGCTCTTTCTACCAAAATGTATAGTATCTTCATTAATTATTATGTACAACAAGAAATATCTTATGTCTTACACATAGTTTATTTTTTATTTTTTTTTTATTGTGCATAATAATTAATGGAGGTAGTATGTCTTAAAAAATAAAAATAAATAATTTAACAAAGGTAGTATAAGTGTATAATTGAGGAAAGGTAAGCTTCAAAGTTTGGGCTTACAAGTGAGTACTGCAACTGTCTTCTCCGGTTTAGATTTTGGGCTTAATTAATTTGTTGGGCTTAAGACAGTATTTGAGAGTTGGATTTTTGAGGCCCAGTTTGATCAACCTCTTTAAGATATTAGAATTGCCCAAATATTTAGCTAATCAAGAAACAAAATTATTTCAGTATGATTAATTTTTTTTATTTAAACTTAAAAACCATAATTTAAGAATTTTTATTTTGGTAAACCTTTTTCAGATTATATATATATATATATATATATATATATATAGGGGAGGGATCCGGTAAGAACCCCTCCTTATATAAGAACCTTAGTTATATAAGAACCAATCTCATTCGTAGGATTATATTAGAATGAGCGGTCAGGATTAAAACCAAAAACCCTCCCCCAACCGTCCAAAATCTTCTCTCTCCTCAAATTTTCAATCCTCTTTACTTTCTCTCTCCTCAAATCCTGTAAATTGAACTTATTGAAGTATTTTCTTCAAATTTCGCATGAATTTCGCATAACCAACCTAAATTGTTCAAATCAAGTACGTTTTTTTTAGATTTTATTCAAATTTCGCATGATGTTCAATTTTTTCTTAATTTCGACTTCAATTTTTAGATTTCTGTGTGATTTTTGTTCCATTTTTTTTAATTGTTTTGTTGCTTTCGCTTTTTTGATTTCATCTTGCGATTTCTATTCGATTTTTTTGGGTACGATTATTAAGTCCTATTATTCACTTCGAATTCTATTCTGATTTGATTTTCGTTAATTTTTGGCGATTATAGGGTTCAAACTCAGTGATTTTAGGGCTGGAATTTCAGCGATTTTAATGTTCGAATTTTAGCGATTTTAGTTTCGAATTTCAGCAATATGGGGTAATTTCACCGCTGCTCTTGATTATTAGATTTTTCAGCCCATTTTTTCGATTTTTTTTCTTTTTGGCGTCATTTTTAGTGAGTGAAGGTGGAGATCGAGGGTGAGTAACGGTGGTGCGGTGGTTAGGAGCAGCGTGGGGTGCTACTGAATGGTGATTTGGTGGTCCGCGACTGCTTGTGGTGTTGGGGTGGCTGTGAGTTGTGGCATAGAATAGTCGTCTCTTGTTTATACTCGTACTCATATCTGCTCATATTGTTTGCGTTTTCTAAAGAGAATGCTAGTATTTGTATTAGCTTGGTAATTTGGCTTACTAATTTTTTGAGATTATATGAATTTGATTGTTGGGTATATATATGTGGAGCCATGATGAGTTGATGACCGACTAATTGGATGCTGTTATTTATATATGTAGTTGGGTATCTTTATTCTTGATTCCATGTCATTTTAACTAATTATCATATCTTGGAATTAAACTAGATAGCTTGGTTGATTAAGCCACAAATTTTGCTTAGTTATTGCTAGAGTAGTAGTGCACGAAAAGTGAAGAAAACTAATCTTATTATAAATTTAGAATAATATAGATTTAGAACAAAAAAAATTAGAACATAAGTAAAAAATTTAGAACATATGAAAAATTTAGAACATAGAAAAAAATGTTTAGAACATAGGCAGAAAAATTTAGAACATAGGGGAAAAAATTTAGAACATAGTCAAAATTTTAGAACATATATTTTGATTATTAGAGAAAAATTTAGAACATAGGTATACAAGTTTTCAATATGGGTATAAGATCGAGTTTAGTACATAGGATAAAAGTTTAGAACATAGAAAAAAAAAAGTTTAGAACACAACAAAAAAATTTAGAACATAAGAATTTTAGAACATAGGGAAAAAAGATTAGAACATAAGTGAAAAAAATTTTAAAAAATTTATAATATAGGGAAAAAAAAATTAGAACTTAAGAAAAGGTGTAGAAAATAGGAAAAATAATTTAGAACATAAAAGAAAATTTAGAACATAAGTTTAGAACATATGGTGAAAAAATTTAGAACATATGAAAATAATTCAGAACATATATTTAGAGCTTAGACAGAAAATTTAGAACATAGATGAAAACTTTTAGAACATAGGTAAAAATATAGAACATAGATAAAAAATGTCGAATATGAAAAAAAAATTTATAACATAGTCAAAAAGTTTAGAACATAGGGTGAAAATATTTAGAACATAGGGTGAAAAAAATTTAGAACATAGGAAAAAAAGTTTAGAGCATAGGGCGAAAAAATTTAGTACATCAGAAAAAGTTTAGAATAGGAAAAAGTTTTGAACATAGGGTGAAAAAATTTAGTATATAGGATAAAAGTTTAGAAAATAGGGTGAGAAGTTCTAAGATTATAGATAGAAAAAGTTTAGAACATATGGTGAAAATTTTCAGAAATATATGGAAAATTCAAAGCATAGACAGAAAAATTTTAAGTAATGGATAAAAAAAGTTTAGATGATAGGAAAATAATTTAGAACATATAAAAAGGCATTGGCAGAAAAAAAAATTAAAGTATTAGCAAAAATACTTTTGAAAAACTAAAGTATTAGCAAAAAACTTATGAACATTTACGGTAAATGAAAAAAAGAAGAACATATGCTAAAAGGCCTAAAACCTATTAGCTCAATTGGTAGAGCACTATGCAAATGCATAGAGAATGTAGGTTCGATTCCTACATAGGTTATCTCTATAAAAAAAAATAAAAAAAAATCGAAAGTAAACAATAATAACTTAATAGTAAAACATGAAAATAAATCAAATTATTTTTTCAACTTATGTTCTAAATTATTTTTTTTTATGTTCTAAATTTTTTTTGCTTATGTTCTAAATTTTTTTTGTATGTTCTAAATTTTTTCTGCTTATGTTCTAAAAATTTTCCCATATTCTAAATTTTTTTCTATGTTTTAAATGTAAACTTTTCAAAATTACAGAAACGTCATTACTAAAGGATCATTTTAGGTGGTTAGATCAAAACTAATAAAGGGCTGAGATTGGTTCTTATATAAGATTGGGTTCTTATATAGAGGAGGGTTCTTACATGAGCCTTCCTCTATATATATATATATATATATATATATATATAGGGGAGGGATCCGGTAAGAACCTCTCCTTATATAAGAACCTTAGTTATATAAGAACCAATCTCATTCGTAGGATTATATTAGGATGAGCGGTCAGGATTAAAACCAAAAACCCTCCCCCAACCGTCCAAAATCTTCTCTCTCCTCAAATTTTCAATCCTCT